AAACGACTTTGGTGACCTAATATCGTCCCAGACTTTTGTGTTTCGCTCAATTTAGTCCTCCATTTGTTATTCCGTCAAATTGGTGTTAAATAAAGGGACAATTCAGTAATGTCAATATTGATCTCTCTTTACTTTCAACTTGTGAAGTGCGAAATTCCTCTTTCTTGTACGAATTACACCCAGAATTACTCCCGGACCTGCAAATCAAATTTTATATTCGCAGTTTTAGGAGTAATTTTGAGAGTAATTCGTAAAAAAAAAAAAAAGGATTTCGCAGTTCACATGTCTATGAGTAAAGAGATGCCAATATTAAAATTACTGAATTGTCTATTTATTTAACACCAAATGGACAGAATAACAAATGAATGACTAAATTGAGCAAAAACACAAAAGTCTGGGACTAAATTGAGCGAAACACAAAAGTCTGGGACGATATTAGGTCACCAAAGTCATTTAGGACGAAATTGAGAAAAACCACTATAGTCGAGGATGATTTTGGGTATTAACTCATTTTAACACGGAACCATAAAATTACTAGCAAGATTTGTTTTTTTGGGTATTTGGTAAATAGTTGTTAGCTGATTGTAGAAAATTGTTTGGTAACATGTAAAATGAATTTCTCAAAAAAAATGATTGAAAAAATTGCTTTGAACAATTTTTTTGGAATTTTAGTATTTTAGAGCAATAAGCTGTTACAAAAAATTAATTAATCAAACACTCATATTGAGGGCGTTTGATAAATAGCTGTTAGCTGATTGGGTTAGTAGGCTTAACTAGTTGATAATATTAGTTGATTGTTGAAAATTGTTTGGTAAATTACCGGTTAGCTGATAGTTGATTACATGTCAAATGACTTTTTCAAAAAACTGATGAAAAAGATGCTTTGAACAGTTTTTAAAATTTTAGCATTTTGGAACAATGAGCAGTTACAAAAAGCTAATTAATCAAACACTCATATTGATTGTTTAACCAAATCAAACGGCTAATAGTTGTCAAATAAGTCAAAATTGACTGATAATATAATTATGTTATCAAATAGGACCATTGATTATTTAATCAAGTCAAATAACTAATAGTGATCAAATAGATTAAAATTGACTGATAAGCTATATATGTTACCAAATAGGGTCTTTCTTTTTTCATGTTTTCTAGTAAAATAGAAAATTTCTCGCACTTTTAATAATTTATCTACGTGTTAAAAGTTGTGACTCAGGGAAGGTGGTGAACTGGGTTAAGGTTGGCTGAATTCTCGGGACCAGTTCGGGACATCATTGGAAAGTGTCATAAATGGGTAGAGAGAGATTGGAATGTGAGGATTATTGAACATGTTTAATTTTTAGAGAGCATAAAAAGGCAGCAAATTTCCTGACTAAGCTTGTGGGCACTCGGGACCAAAGGTGTTACGACCTTACGTGTTCTCCCTCGGGTATATGGACATCTTGCTGCAGGACTATCTTGCCACCCCCTCCCAAGCACCTGTGACATTGTTGTGAGAAATTATTTTAACAAGTTAAAAGAGTTTGTTTCACTTTTAGACCATCTATAATGACATTTTCGCTTTTGATCTAGTAATAATAACCCAAGGCCATAACTACCTAGCACAAATGGTACAACCATTCGTAGTACATTTAAGTATCTTTAGCCAACCAAGTGGCTTGTAGTCCACTGGTATCAGATTGCTCTCCTAAGTGGAAGGTGTAAGGTTCGAACCTTAGTTGAGGCAATAGTATTTATATGTAAGATATCCCCCTTCCTTATAATAAAAAAAAAAAGTATCTTCGGCCATATCTTTTTTTTTTTTTTTTTTACTAGTGGGTGAAATAGTACACACGATATTTTAAAAGTTTATATAATGATTAATGTATATTTCACTCAAAGATTGAAAAGTTTGAAACTTTTTTTTGTAAGTGATAAGATAAATTCATAATCACTATTTGAGAGTATACGTAAAGTAAGTTATAATCATGTATAATAACTTATGAACCCAAAAAAAGGAAAAAAAAAAAAAAAAAAAAAAAAAAAAAAAAAGGAGAAAAATCACACTAAAAAGACTTTGCTCAATAGGCTCAACGGAGAGAACATTTGCTCAATAGGCTCAACGGAGTGAACATTGTCAATAATCAAATTTATAAGTTAGAATTTCTGTTATAGTAGTTTGACCGCACTGACTATATATACACAATTTAAAATGGAAACTTTTTATTTTTATGGACACTAATGAATTTGCAGCTGACCTCATCTTTAGTTAATAAAAATTCTAAGTATCTAATGGCTCTCTTTGGCAAACCTAGCTGAAAAGTTGAGAGCTGAAAAGGAGCTGGAAGCTGAAAAGCTATAAGCTTGGAACTGAAAATTGAAGATTTGTTAAGCTAGCTGTTATGATTGAAAGTGTGGTAAAATTAGTTTTTTGATAAACTGATAAATGTAAAAAGACTAAAAAAGATATCTTTATAAAATTTAAATTAGTTTGTTTACATATTAAAATTTAACATTTTGTCTTTAAAAAAATCATGGATGCATGATTAATGAGTAAATACCCAAAATGGTCCATCGACTATAGCTAAATTCACAAATTGGTCCTTGATTTTTAATTTCAACCAATTAAGTCCTTAACTTTGCAATTTTAACACAATTTGATCCTTTGTTTATTTGACCGTTTGTTGACTGTGCTTTTTTAGGATATATATGTAATTTCATGGTCCATCGTCGATTTTTTAAGGTTCCGGTTGCATTTATAGACCGCACTGTTACATTTGAATCCACTGCCGGCACTGCACCCCATGCCGGAGAGATTATAGCTTTTGATAGATAGATCGCCGAAGTCCCTGAAGTCGCTCTTCGAGAAAGCCGTGACTCCAAGCGATATAGGCAAGCTGAACTGGCTCGGGATCCCCAAGCAGCAGGCGGAGAAGCACTTCCCCCATCCAAAACGGCGCTGTCACCTCCAAGAGCGTTCTCTAAGCTGAATCGGCTCGTGATCCCCAAGTAGCAAGCGGAGAAGCACTTCCCTCTCCAAAACAACGATGTCACCTCCAAGAGCGTTCTCTTGAGCTTTGCACGTGAAACTACATATATATCCTCAAAGATCGCGGTCAACAAACGGTCAAATAGATGGAGGACCAAATCGTGTCAAAATTGCAAAGTTAAGGACTTAATTGGTTGAAATTGAAAGTCGATGACCAATTTGTGAATTTAGCTATAGTCGAGGGACCATTTTGGATATTTACTCTTGATTAATTATAAAACTAATTTAAAGAGCAAAGTAGCCGGGTTTGTGAAAACAATAGAAAGATAATGAGATTTTTGGGATTCAAGTGTTTAATCACCTAGTGCCAATTTAAATAACAATATTAAATCAGGGTCTAAAGGAGTGAGAATGCAAACAAGGGAAAGATTTACTCCCGTAATCTCCAACCAAAAACAATACAAGTGAATATTCACTCCCGTGATATAAACACTCGACAATGTAAGAACAAGCATTCATAATAAATTCTCAACTAATAGCCATCTCCCAAGGTGCAACAGTTAAGTGCAATTGTGTGCGCTCTTAATTATACCCTAACTCCCGTTAAGACATAAAGATAGCTATGAAACGAGTAATTTTGGTCATTAACTACTAGCTTCAACAATACAAAACACAATTGCAACACAAGTTATAAAACCCAAATGTCAATATATTAAAGAATCTGAGAACTAGGCACATAGGTTCATAAACACTTTCACCCAAGAATCGCTAAGAAAACTTAGCCACACATGGTTACACTAGAATTCATTCCAATAATGTAAGAGAGTTTACAAGTAACTAAGAGAGTAAAAGAATAGACCAAGAGATTTTCCCAAACCTTCCTAGCTTTTCTTCTTTCTTCCCAAGGCAACTTGTAGCTCTTAATCTCCTCTTTTCTTGTCTCCAAAACGCAGCTTAATGCCCTAAGGTTGAGGGAAGATGGGCTTTTTATAGTGGAAGCCAAACGGGGGCAAAATATAAATTTTTCGTGCAAAACAGACCTGACCCAGCCCGACTTCTCGACGCGTCGAGTCTTCACTCTGAATTCTCCGACCGCATTCTGGAACTTCTCGACGCGTCGAGTCAAGGCGCTGAATTTCCAAAACGTTGCTATAAATTCTCGACGCGTCGAGTCTTGCTGATCTCGAACAGTAATGCCACTGAAAATATTAGACACGTCGAGTTCCCAACTCGACGCGTCAAATCCTCTGTTTTAGCATCTTTAGTCTATTTTGGCTCCAAACTTGTCCCATGACTTCCCCTTGCCTTTGCAATTGATCTACAATGGTTCCAAAATACTAACAAACACCGTAAAACATTCAAAACAAGTGTATAGTAGAACCATATCTTAATGAGAAAACAGGGAAACATACATTTAAAGTATCAATTTAATGAACTTAAGCGCACAAATAGATTTAAACTAACACAAAAAACATGTACAATTAGGCTCACATTACCTCATCAATGGATTACTATAAATTTTTTATCTTTACTTTATTTGTATGCACTTACTTGCAGTACTTATATTTGTGCAATCAATACCAAACAACTTTAACCGCTTTCAAATTGAATCAAACTCGATGTGTTGTTTCACTTATTTATTTTCAAACATTGCAATTCAAGTAAAAGACTTCCGTTGTGCATATACACACTTTGCACCAATTTATAAAAATATAAAAGCATATTATGATATTTATCTCCCCCTCTATAAGTTTAGCTCGCTCAGGATCAATAGGGAGTTTCAGACTTGACTAACTAGTCAAAAGAGTTTATTTCACTCCTCGTTGTTTTATAGTAATATTTTCACTTCTAGTCTAGTAATAGATGCCTAGTAATAATTAAAATAATATATCTTTAAAAGTTGATAATTAAAATATATTTGAGTCAACCATAATTTAACTAACAAGCCAAGGGCATAATTGTCGTAAAATAGTCATTCATGGAGTGTTTGGTTAGGTGTAATTGAAATGCAATAACAATAGAATTTTAACCCAACAAGGTAGCTAAGTGGCAAATGAGCTCTATTTGTGGGGGAGAATTTCGGGATAACCCGGGTTCGATTTCCACAAGTTGATGATTCCCTTGGGCCAGCTTTTGTGCCTCTCGGAGTGAACCGGGTGGATCTGGACTACACCCAAATTACAGTGTTTGGTTGGAGGGAATTGCCATTCTATGAAATTTTGTTGAATTGGAATTCATGCCTCCTCGTATGAATTCCAATTCGACATACCATAGAAAGGAAAAAGATAGATATGAAAATGACATTTTTGCCCTTAGTTATTATTATTATTATTATGGAAAAAGAGTCAAATTGGTCCCCTAAGTCGACCGGATAGTTCAATATAATTGGTTCCCTAACTAAAAAAAGCTCAATTCAGATCCCTTAAACATGTTAAATTGATCAATTAAGTCCAAAGTAACTTGTTTAACAGGTTAAATTTTCACATGGTTGATACGTGTCTTTTTAAATTATTTATTATTTTTGTTTTTTTATTAAATTTTATTTATTATTTATTAAAATAAACTCCCTCCATCCTATTTTACATGTCTTACTTTCCTTTTCTGTCCGTCCCAAAATGTTGTCCACATTCCAAAAATAGTATCATTATATTTGTATTTTTACAACATTACCCTTTTAAATTTTAACCACAACTACACACAATTTACTGCCCACACCTATCAAACCTCAAAAGATGTGCCAACTACCTAGTTAAAAGAAGAACAAATACTCTGTACATTTTTCTTCTTTCTTCTACTCACTTCTATTTAGGAATTTTACTCTTCAAAATCCCCATCCTCCATCATCATCTTCTTCTTCTTTTCTTTTTGCAATTAATGGGTTTTAATAGTGGCCATCTACATATGCTCTGGACAAAATTTTATTACTCTCTGAATGGATGGGCGGTCGACATCTATAGATCAATGACAGTAGTCTTTTAGATCAAATCTGTAAGCTTCACAATTTCTGTTTTTTTTTTTTTTTTTTTTTAATATATTTTTATAGTTGAATGCAGATTTGGTAAATTTTAGAAGTATTGAGTTCATGTATTATTACTATTACTATTACTATTACTATTACTATTACTATTACTATTACTATTACTATTACTATTACTATTACTATTACTATTACTATTACTATTACTATTACTATTACTATTACTATTACTATTATCATTATTAAATAAATAGTACGCAGCAGGCTGTGTAAGTTTGAAAAGACAATGGCAAAAAAGAAGGTTCAAAAAATAAACAAGGGCATATTTGGAAAGAGAGTCCACTTTTTTTGTTTGTCTTAAACTCCGTGCCAAAAGCAAATAAGACATCCATTTCGGGACTGAGGGAGTATATTATATATAAAATAAAAAACAAAAAACACACAAGCGATACCACCTATGCCGGTGTTCTTCTCCAGCACTTACTACGCCACTGATCACCAACAACTGCCACAGAGCTTCGTCGGAAGAAGTTGTTACGTCGGAGGGTACTGTAGGTCGACGAACGAGAGAGGAGTCCGCCGATCTGTTGCCGCTGGTGGCTCGCCGTTGCTGCTTAGCTGCCGGGGAGGGAGGTCGTTAGTAGGAGTTGATGTTGCTGGTCGGAGAACTAGTCGCCATCTACGCTGGAGGCAGTTCGTCGGGGATTTGATCCATCCATCGCCGTTGTTCGCCAGAAGCCTAGAACTGGCCATTAACGCTGGGGCGAGAAGAGGTCGCCGAATCAGCTGTTCAAGTTCGTCCCAGCCACCCCGTCTACCATGGCAAATTATTGTGTGGACTATGGTCCCCACCATGGTTGCAATAGGCGCTAGGCGCTAGTCGGGCGGTAGAGTAGCGCCTAGCTCCTAGACCGCCTAGGCGGCTAACTGAAAAAATGAAAAACAGTGCACGTGTGTAGGTGCATATATGTCATATTATGCATACATACATACATATATACATGCTTTAAAAAAAAACATACATATATACATAGGTGCATATATGTCATATTATACATACATACATACATACATACATACATAGATATATATATATATATATATATATATATATATATATATATATATATGTGTGTGTGTGTGTGTGTGTGTGTGTGTGTGTGTGTGTGTGTGTGTGTGTGTGTGTGTGTCATATAAATGAAAAAAATTAGCAAGGTCGAGTCGGCCGGGTTAACTCAGCTAACTCGACAGAAATTGACGAGTTAACTCGGTGTAATCGGTTAAGTCGGCCGGGTTAACTCGGCTAAATCGACAGAAATTGACGAGTTAACTCGGCGTAATCGGCCGAGTTAGGCGCTAGGCGGCGGAATTAGGCGCTAGGCGGGCGCCTAGGCAGCCGGGCTCCTAGGCGGGAGCCTAGGGGAGAAATCGCCACGGCCTAGGGGCGCCTAGCGCCTAGGCGTCGATTACTCGGTGCCTAGGCGGGATTTTTGCAACCCTGGTCCCCACAGTGTTATGTGGATCATAACAAAAAGTACATTTTTAATATACTAAATGTACATTATTTTTTTACTGAATGTATATTATACAATATAATGTACATTCAGTACAAAAATAATGTACATCCTCTGAATACAAGGTACATTATTTTTGTGCTGAATATACATTATTTTTGTACTGAATGTACATTATTTTATAGTATACAAAATATGGTCCACACAACTTGTATGTACTAGACTATGTTATTAATATGTATTTAATTATGTAACATTCTGTTAGTGATCTAGTCTCTAGCCTATTAGATAGCTCTCTCTCTATGAGTGTATTAATGTGATCATAATTCTGTAACTGAATGAATTATCTCTTCCATTCTCATCTGGTATCAGTTAGCCAGTAGGAATCTGACGATTGTTTTCCCGTTTCTCTCTCTTCATCTCATTTGATCCTTGCGTTCGACAATGTCTCAGAGTTCCGAACGTACACTCACGACCACCACCATCCTCCCCAAACACCACCCCAAATTCCCTTCCTAGTGCGCACCACTTTGTGTCACTAAAACTCACCCATCGGAACTACCTATACTAGAGAACACAAATCATTCCCTTTTTACGTGGACAGAGGTTGCTCGGCTTCATTGATGGCTCACGGCCATGTCCATTTCCGGTGATCGAACTCCCAGCCGACGAGCAATCTGACGACGCGTCTGTCACCCCGAATCCAGCGTACGAAGCGTGGATTGAGCAGGATGCTTCCATCCTATCCTTGCTCATATCATCAATCTCGGAGGAGGTAATGTATCTCACGCTCGGTCAAACAACTTCCCGTTCGGTGTGGCTCGCGGCGGAGACGGCGCTCGGCTCTTCCTCGCAGGTTCGCTGCCTCAACCTCATGGGGTAGTTTCAATCGCTTCGACAGGGAGATAGCTCTACACCGGAGTATCTCGGGCGTGCCCAGCATCTGGTCGAGGATCTAGCACTTGCCGGGCGGCCACTGACGTTAACGGAGCAGAACCTCTATGTTTTCCGGGGGTTGCGACCGGAGTTTCGGTCTATGGCAGCCTCCCTGGCTGTCACCGGTACGCTGGTGATGATCCCGCAACTAGCGGATTATTTGCAGGCGTAGCAGTTTATCCATTCGGATGACTTCCCGGCCTATCAACCGGCGACGGCGAGTGGTGTTCTCTCAGCGTTATATGCCGGCCGAGGTGGACGGCATTAGGGCAGTGGCGGCCGTGGTCAGTCCCGCGGCGGAGGAGGTCGCAGCGGCAACCAGCGAGGAGGCCGCGGTGGACGTGGTCGGAGCGGCGGTCTGCGTTGTCAGATCTGCAGGTCGCAAGGTCACTCCGTCGCTTTCTGCTACTGGAGATACTCCGAGCCGACACCTTCATCGCATATGGTAGTCGCTGGAGACGGAGGCACGACACCGGCAGTGACGTCTTGGCTGCCGGACACGGGCGCTTCCACGCACGCTACAACGGATTCCGGCGTGGTCTCGCAAGTCGAAGAATATCACGGTGATGATGTTCTAAGAGTGGGTAATGGCACAGGTTTGACAATCTCGCGTGTGGGTCATGCAGTTATTCCTTCGGTCACTAAACCATTAAAATTATCTAGTGTCTTACATGTTCCTGGGTTGTCAGTCTCTTTATTATCTGTAAATCGTTTTACAAAAGATAATAACTACTATTTTGAATTTCATCCTAGTTTTTTTGTTGTGAAGGACTCCACCACACAGGTGGTTCTTCTTAAAGGTCCAAGCTCGGGGGGATTGTATTCGTTGTCAGTTCCGAACTCACATCATGCATTCGTCTCTGCTCGTGCCTCTTCCACGATCTGGCATCAGCGTCTCGGTCATCCTCACGAACAAGCCCTTAAACGTGTCTTACGGGAAAGCCCGGTTGAATTCAATAAAAATGTAACCCCCTGTTTATGTTCGTCATGTCAACTCGGGAAATCCTCTCGATTCCCGTTAGATAGGGTAGCTAAATCTAGCAATAATATTTTAGACCTTGTTTACACCGATATTTGGGGTCCCACGCCTGGTCTTTCCGCGGATGGCTCACGTTACTTTGTACTCTTCGTAGATGATTGTACCCGCTATTGTTGGTATTATCCTCTACGACTCAAAACCGATATATACAAAATATTTGATGTTTTTCGGGCGACGGTAGAACGTACGTTTTCGCGTTCTATCAAGTCCATTCAGTCTGATCTGGGGGGGGGGGGGAATACCAAAAGTTACATAAACTGTTTACCTCATTGGGAATCGTGCACAGGCAATCATGTGCCTATACGCATGAACAAAACGGGCGTGTAGAACGTCGGCATCGGCATATTGTCAAGACCGGTCTGGTCATGATGGCCCAAGCGTCTGTCCTACAACGACATTGGGATCACGCATTTGAAACAGCAACTTATCTTATAAACCGATTACCATCCTCCTCACTCCAGTTTGATACACATTACTACCGGTTATATCAGTCTCCACCCACTTACACATACTTACGTGTATTCGGGTGTCTTTGTTCCCGTACCTTCGTCCCTACAACCGTCATAAAATCGAGTATCGGTCGAGTCCATGTGTCTTCTTAGGTTACCCACCGTCCTTTAGGGGTTACCGCTGCATGGACCTAAACACCGGGAAAACTTACATCTGTCGCCATGTCCGCTTCGATGAAAGTCACTTCCTTTTTGCATATAGGAGCCCCGTGCAGTCCGGGACACGAGAATCCGTACCCAGCTTGCCATGGGGGTCCAATCCTGTTTTGCATCACGGTGACACAGTTGAATCTTCGGTCACCATCCCTTGCCCTACTGTAGAACCAGCTCCGGCTCAAGCACCCATAGTCAAAAGACGGGGGCGTCGAGCCCAACCTCAGGAGCGGGCTCATGTTATGCGGCTCCGGCTTATGATACAGGAGACTGGGGAGCAATTTCAGGCCCTCACGACATCCACCGATGACCCAACTTGCTACTCTCAGGCAGTGGGGCATCCACAATGGCGAGACGCAATGGACCAAGAGTTCAACGCGTTACTACACAACAACACACGGACGCTAGTTCCCGCTACTCCTGGCATGAACATAGTGGGATGCAAATGGGTTTTTCGCACCAAGCGGAACGCCGACGGCACGGTGGAACGCTACAAAGCCCGGCTAGTTGCCAAAGGCTACAATCAAGTGGCTGGCGAGGATTTCTTTGAGACGTTTAGCCCGATTGTTAAACCGACCACGGTTCGGCTGTTACTTGCATTAGCTATTTCCCGTGGGTAGACACTCCGACAGTTGGATGTCCACAATGCCTTTTTAAACGGGCACCTGGCTGAAACGGTCTATATGCGGCACCCACCAGGCCATGAGGATCCTGACCCCCCTGATCACGTCTGTTACTTACAGCGTTCTCTATATGGGCTGAAGCAGGCACCCCGGGCCTGGTTCAAGCGTTTACATGATTTCTTAATTCTCACAGGTTTTGTTGCTTCAAAAACAGATGTTTATCTGTTCCACTACTCAGCTGCCGATTCCCGGGTATTTTGCTCGTGTATGTGGACGACATTATCATGCTTGGAAGTGACACGGCCTTGGTCGATTCCTTGCTGCGGCAACTGGCGACGGCCTTCAAAATCCGAGACCTGGGGAAACCTACGTTCTTCCTTGGCATAGAAACCATTCCTATACCGGATGGTATGATTCTATCACAGTGGCGTTATATGCGGGATATTCTTCACCGAGCTGGCATGAGTGACTGTAAGGCGCTAGCCACCCCAGCCTCTTTGACTCAGCCTGTGTGTCAGTCCACTGATTCCTTCGACAATCCGACACAATACCGCCGTCTAGCCGGGGCTCTTCAGTACCTCACCATCACTCGGCCAGATATGTCTTATTCCGTCAACCGACTCTGTCAGTTCATGCACTCACCTACTGACGAACACTGGGCCTACTAAAGCGGGTTCTTCGCTACATTAAGGGTACCCTGGAATACGGTCTACGCATCACTACGTCAGTGTCCTCGGACATTCATGCCTACTCCGACTCTGACTGGGCTGGCTGTCCAGTTGATCGCAAGTCCACTAGTGGTTACGCAGTGTTTTTTGGTAAAAATCTTGTTTCCTGGGTCTCTCAGAAACAACGCACCTTTGCGCGCTCTTCGACTGAGGCAGAATACAAGGGATTCGCGGATGTGTGTGCTGAGGTTACCTGGGTTGTGTCTTTGTTACGGACCTTGGCTTAGGGCCTGTCACTCCACCCACACTGTGGTGTGATAATCTGGGTGCTACCTATCTGTGTGCAAATTCGGTATTCCATGCTCGCACCAAACATGTTGAGGTTGACTACCACTTTGTCCGGGACAAAGTTTCGGCTGGCGAGTTCCAAGTTCATTTTGTGTCTACCAAAGATCGTCTAGCAGATATCTTCACCAAACCGCTTCCAGTAGCGCGGTTCACTGCTTTTCGCGACAAGCTCAATGTGGTTCCACACCTACCTTGTGCTTGAGGGGGAGTATTAGACTATGTTATTAATATGTATTTAATTATGTAACATTCTGTTAGTGATCTAGTCTCTAGCCTATTAGATAGCTCTCTCTCTATGAGTGTATTAATGTAATCATAATTCTGTAACTGAATGAATTATCTCTTCCATTCTCATCGTATGGACCATGGTCCACACAATAATGATTGATCTACCATAGATGCTTTGTAGCTCACTGTACGCTGGAGAAGAACGTCAGCAAAGTAGGTCTCGCCGGTGGCTGTGTTTTTTTATTTTTATTTTTTTATTTTTTATATATAATTTATATTTTAATAAATAAAATTTATAAAAAATAAAAATAAAAATATTATAAAAAGACACGTGTCAACCATGTGAAGACTTAACATATTAAACAAAGTCACTTTGGACTTAATTGAACAATTTTACAGGTTTATGGTATCTGAATAATTGAGCTTTTTTTAGTTAGGGGACCCAATTGCACTGTCCGATTGAGTTAGGGGGACAATTTGACCCTTTTTTTTTCTATTATTATTATTATTATTATTATAAAAGGGTATTTTAGTCTTTATGTCACTTCCTCCCTTTGCATTCTTAATAATTCAATTCATCCCTACCAAACAATGTAATTCGAATTCTTAATTTATTCCACATTATTATTTTCCCACTGAATTACAATTCTTTTTCCCTTAATTCTATCCTTACAACTAACTGAATTACAATTCCTTTTTCCTTAATTCTATCCTTACAATCAAACGCCATGTGATAGGACACTTAAACCTCATTCATTCTTGTCACATCCCAAATCTATTTTACTATGTGGTAAAACACTACCAAACATGTTACAGAAGCGAATTGAATGATTAATGTATATTTCATTCAAAGATTGAAAAGTGGGAATCTTTATTAGTTAATTGGATGGTACATGTTTCAATGAATGATATAATATAATTGATACATTGATTATACAACATACTTTGGTCATTAATGTGGATTGCAGAATTATCACACCCAAAAACATAGTCAAACTAAATTGGTCAAAAGAATAATTTTCTTCCCCATTTTTTTACTCTGTTTACAATTACCATTTTATGAAAACTTCTATTTCTCCATCTTAAAATTACTTCCTTCATCTTTTTTTTTCTTCTCCCAAAAGGTTGAATTTCCAACCTTGACCCGATAGAGCATTTAGGAGGATGTAAATCACGCTGATCCAATTGCTTAGCAAATAAAGCCAAATGCCGGTGCACACAAGGCATTTGCCCACTTTGGACATAATCCCCACACTATTGCCACCGAAATTCGAACATTGGTCTCTTCTCCTAAATACTGCCTACTGAACTATTGAGCTAAGTCCGTGCGGGCACATTCTTTTTTGTCTAACAATAAGTTTCTCATCTAGTCAAGTATAAAAGGACTTTACAAGTCGAGACTAATCATATTCGCATTAGATAGGACCTCAAAGGATGCCACCATCCTATATATTTATTACATTCTAACGTTGCATAACAAGAAATGATATTTTTATCCCAAAATTGTTCTCCGTTTGAGAATTTGGTTGCTGTTTGTTAATTATGTCAGGAATTGAATGTGCAACATTGTAGACAATTAAGAGACTAGAGTTGCACAAATTGATAGACAAGGACCAAATTTCCAAAGGACTAATAATTCAAGAACCAAAAGTCTAATTTTCTCAAAAACTTTTTATATTCATTTGTTGTCCGTGAATTAACTGCTCCGCAATAAGTTGATTGATTACATAATAGGATATATCATAAAAGGAGGGTATGTTTGTACTTTGATGGATAATGAGAGGTTAAAACTTTCATTACAAAAGAAGGCAATTTCATGAAAAGTTAAAAATGGATGGAAATTTTACAGAGGCAAGATTGGTAGAGCAAAGTGAAAAACACTAAAATGGACTAAACTAATAATTCACATTCATAGCAAGAAAAACAAATACAGTAATTCATGTGATTTAGGAATTTGTGTTTTTTTTTTGGTGGAATATAATTTCTGAGTCAGCAGCAGTGAGTGCTCTGATCATCTACAGGGATGATTACAGGTGTACAGCACAGCCATGGAGACATGGGAATTGAATAAGAACAAAGTATCACATTACTTTCCCCACTGGCTTAGAAGACATCATTAGCAGAGTTAGCAGTCTGCATAGAATGTTGTCCCCTCTGAACCCCCCCCCCCCCCACACCCCCAAAAACCGACCCCACCTACCTGATCAAAATTCCCATTTGCTCCATGGTCAAGAGCAAGAGAAATCGAGATAATCTCAGTTAAGATAGCTAAAGATACAAATTTGTAATCACAAAATCACGAATTCGAATATCAACCATCTTGATTTGAGCTGATTAGTTATGGACAATCTAGTCTGATTTATTTCATTGTGGTCTTTTGTAATCCTCCCGGTGTACCCCTCAGATAGTAAAAAAAATCCAAATAGAACTAGAAAAGAGCTAATCAAGAAATTCAGTCCTCACTAATCTGATGAAAGGAATGATTCATCTGGTGTGGAGGGGTCTGAGGGTTGATAATGGTGAATGTGGAGCTGGAGGGGAAGTAGCCAAAGGAAGAACTTGGGAAGAGCTTGAAGGGTAGTGTGAAACACTGAGATTATTACCATGTTGTTCCTCTCTGGTTCTTGGGAAGATAAGTGTAATGAACGAACCATTATTCTCCTCATCTCTAGCTGAAAATGGTGAGGGCTGAGCAGAAAGGAATGGTGAGGGTGAAATGTGGGCTTCTTTGTCTGGGACAGAAGATGAAGAAGCTTCCTTTTTCTTGACTAATCTCTGGGCTTCCTCCAAGATTCTGCTTCTTCTGTGAAGCTTCTCCTCAGCATCTCTCAAGAACTTGAAAGTTGGAGGGGGAGAAGGCCTGCAGAACTCAAAATCTGTGGTGGATTCAAAGAAAGGGTTGAGGAGGGGAGTGAGGGGTGGGGTGAAGTATGGAGGAGAAGCAATGGGGGTCAAGAATGGAGTTTCAAGAACATCACTTAGGCTTCTGGTTCTTGACCCTTTTCTGCTCTTAGATTTCCCATCCTCTGATGACTCCAAATCCTCATTTGTTTCTTCCTTGATTGTGAACAGAAACCTTGGTGGACCAGAGAGTCTCAACAGCTCAGCCTCCATGCTTTCTTGCCATGAATCCCCATGGCTCTGCAGCTGAGGTTGAGGTTCATGGACAAGGGTGATACTGGAACAAATCTCCTGGGGTTTCAGTGCAGAATTTGCAGAAGAAGATGGAGAAGAAGAAGAAGATGGTTTTTTCCCACAGAAAAAGTAGAAAATTTCCTTGCCTGGCCCATCTTCAATCCCTCTTCTTGTGATCCTCTTCTTCCACCATAACAGGTAGTATAACTCTCCAAGAAGAGCAATCAAAAGACACCCAAAGATCACACTCAAAGCTAGCCCTATGCTGCTCAAAGATTTCATCTTTTCATCCACTGGATCAACAACAACCACATCAAACTCCAACCTTAGCTTGCCCCAAATCCTAGGATTCTTGGGAGAAAAAAAAAGAAGAGAGAATTAATGAAGAAGCAGATTTCACTTTTGTGTGTGTGTGAAAGGCTGGTGAGATTATGAGTGTACAGAGAAAAAGGCCAACCACCAAAGGGTTTAAAGGAAAGGGAAAGGGAAGGAATGGGCTTTTTGATCATAATCTGCTCGTTGAAGGGTAATCAAATCATTACAAAATGTCCCGCTAGGGTAGCTCAGTTGGTTCGATATATTTTAAAGTTATTAAGAGACATTGATTGATTAGAGAAAGTGAAGATCCTTTGTATATAGGTGTACAAACAAAGATGGGAACTTGGAGAGTGAATGGATCGTTAGTGATTTACCTTCTTCAGCGGTACTTAGACCAGAATTAAGATTAATTAAGTTCAAGTTATAATATCTAATATATTTAAAAAATCATCACACATTGCACTAAGAATCTTAGCTTTATGGCAACAGGACACTAGGGGAATCTAAGTACAAGAATGGGATAACTGGATAACCTAGTTTAGTTGTGAATAATTCTATTCTTAATTCAGTTTGACGCTACGTAAATAGGAGGATAATATGTGAATTAAAAATCAATTGGAGTACAACTGAGGTTTATAGGGTGATGGTGTTAGATTAAGCCCAACCTCTAATCCTACATTTTAATAAGTGTTAAGCAATTTCAGTCAAATTGATCAGATTGTTAGCTTAATAATTTAAAGTTTTAAGTTTAACTTCATGTAGGAATCATTTATTTGTCTTCTTGATGTGAGCCTATGAACTATAAGAAACCTAGGTTGGTTTACTTTCTTGGAGTTCTTTGTTGGCTAGACCACAAGGCAAAATTTATTCAATTTACCTAATGAACACCCTTAAGTAGTAACTACAGGTTTCATCGTCATCCAAAAAATAAAAAAGAGTAAATACTATAATGGCCCGTTTGGTTCACGGAATAGGCCGAGAATGACATAGCATTCCCAGTAATAGGCCTATTCCTTTGTTTGGTAACCGTTTCTATTACCGGAAATAATATTCCCGGTAATACCCTATTCCCCCAGATAAGGTAATAGCTATTACCAGCCACCCCCCCCCCCCCCCCCCCGGTATTAGGCTATTACTGAGTTTTCAGGAATAGCCTAAAATTTCTACTTCCTATTTTACCCCCCAATTAAATTTATTTCCTATTTCACCACCATCACCAGCACCAGCACCAGCACCACCACCACCACCACCACCCCACTACCCCCACCCCCACCAGCACCACCACCCCACCAACACCACCATCGCCGCCACCACCACCACCACCACCACCACTACCATCGCTACCACCGCCGCCGCCACCAGTACCACCACCCCACTGCCACCGCCACTACCACCACCACCGCTGCCACCGCTACCAGCACCACCACCCCACCAACACCACCAGCACCACCAGCACCGCCACCACCGCCACCACCGCCGCTAGCACCGCCACCACCGCCGCTACCACCACCACCACCGCCGCCACCACCATCGCCGCCACCGCCACCACCACCACCACCAGCACCGGCACCACCGCCGTCGCCCCCGCCACCATCGACACCACCACATATTTTTATAAGGGTATTTATGTCTTTTAAAACATATTTCATTTCTATTCCTTAAACCAACCAAACATTGTAATATAATTCCTAAAGTCTATTCCTTCCGCGAACCAAACAATAGAATACAGTTCCTATTCTATTCCTTGCCTATTCCATTCCTTATGGAATAACATTCCTATTACCTCAAAATTCGTTCCGTGAACCAAACGTGTTGTAAGTATTTCGAGATTAAAAATATTCTTTTTGACCTGACGTATTAAGATCAATTAAGTAATGTTAAGTGTTTCATATCAAAGAGTATTTTTTTTCTAAGAGTAATTCTATTTTTAGTGGATATATTACTAGTATTCCACCCGTGCGATGCACGGTATAAAAATAAGACAACAATAATTCTTTCTGAAAAATATATTATAAACACAAATAAAAGATTAATAAATAAATAATTGCATTGGAAAATATAAATTTGAACATGTAATAACAATATATATTATTAGAAACTAATGTTATTAAATTTTACATATAAAAAAGAAATATGAGCATTTTATTCATTTTTAAATTTTTGTTATTTAATAATTATGTTCATTTGCTATGAAAAATTATGAATTCAAATATTTTTAATTAAAATAAAAATTTATATTGATGATTTCATTCAATATTTGAAGTCGATTACTCATTTCAAAGAGTTTCAAATTATATTTTATTATACATTATCTTATCTTTAAATTTATTTTAATTATAATTAAGTGTATTAAAGTTATTTTAATTATAATTAAGTGTAATATGATAATTTTAATTTGAACAATGAATAATAAATTTGAATAAAATCAAACTATTCTAACATAATACAAATAAATACAAATTAATTTTTTAATAAATATATTATATATAGAAAATGTAACTCAATTCAATTACATTTTTTATTAAATTCTAATAACATAAATTAAACTTCCAAAATATAATTCTTAAAAATTATTTTCTTAAACAAAATATATACAAAATAAGTGTCTTATACAAAAATCAGCAGCCCAATCCATTCCTATCAATTCTAATATATATATATATATATATATATATATATATATATATATATATGTATGTATGTATGTATGTATGTATGTATGTATGTATGTATGTATATAACCCAATACACAATTAGGGGTGTTAACGAACAGAGCTTTCGGCAAACTACTCGTGTTCGTGTTTGGTAAGCGTTCATTTATGTTCGTTTGTTAAGGTAAACGAACCATTAACAAACAAAAAATTAGAGCTCGGTTAATAAACGAACAGAACTTGAACAGTTGTATGCTCGTTTGCTAAGAGATCGTGAACAAGCTCGTTTGTGTTTGTTTAATAATGTTCGTGAACAAGCTGTGTTCATTTAATAATGTTTGTGAACAAGCTCGTTTGTGTTCGTTTAATAATTTCGTGAACAAGATCATTTAGTGTTCGTTTAATAATGTTTGGGAACATGAACATAGATTATTTCTTGTTCACGAACGAATTGTAATCATGAACATGTGCAGGTGTTTGGTTATTAAATGTTCATGAACGTAAACCAACATGTTCGTGAACGTGTTTGTTAACATTAACGAACACGTTCGTGAACGTTGACAAACACGTTCGCGAACATGTTCGTTAATGTAAACGAACACGTTCGTGAACGTGTTCGCGAACGTTAACAAACACTAATGAACGCTTAACAAACGAACACGAACAGGATTTTCAAAAACCTTAACAAACGAACACGAACACAAACACCCTAAATTCTTAAGAAATGAACACGAACAACCTTCGTTCGTTTATGTTCGGTTCGTTAGCAGCCCTATACACAACCCACAACCCAAAACCCAAGCCCAATATTGGAACCCAAACCCGACCCAAGACCCGACCATATAAATACTAAACCTAACCTGATCTCTCCGCCCCCATCCCATCTGCCCTCTCTCTACGATTCTAGAAACCAGAACTCCTGCAAAGGAAATTGTCACACACTTGGACTCTTGACATAAAAATAGAGGAAGAAAACAGAGAATAGAGAGGAAACGAAGGGAAGAAAATTTAGGGTTTCGGAAAGAGAGTTAAGATATTACATCATACATAATTCAAAAGATCATAAAAACCTAATTTATATAAGACAAGTTTGTTATGTTGGCAGGAAGGTGGTCTCAACATTTTTGTACTCTAGGTTGTAGCTCAGCAAGACTCTCAAACGACGTCGTCTAATGACTTAATAGAACAGCCCTAACTGCCAACGCTGAAACGACGGCGTTTGATTAAGTTCAACGGTCACCAACTGCCACAAGTCACACGATGTCGTTTTTACTCCTATTTCATCACCTTTGGCAACTCCCTTCTGCGATTGTCTCACCTCCTCCTTAAGCATAATTCTCTTCGATTCTAGTTGCCCTAGTTGTGACATTGCCTTCCCCTTCAGTGGATCCTTGTCCCCAAGGATCATAAGTAGGAAACTGACTAGTTATGTGCTTGTAATCTTCCCAAGTGGCAGCTTCCTTAGGCAAATTTGCCCATTGGACTAGGATCTGGACCACAGCTCTATTGTTTCATTTGACTAGCCTCTTGTTTAATGTTGCTACTAGGTATGTAAGAATGGTGCCCTCGGAGTCAGTTGTAGGCAATTCAACTTGTGGATTAACCCTCTCACCAATTCTCTTCTTCAACTGTGAAACATGAAAAACTGGATGGATAAGGGTTTCAGCAGGAAGCCTTAGGGTGTGTTTGGTTGGTGGGTTTTGCCTATAGGAATGGGTATGAAAGTGATTGTTGTTGTTTGGTTGATAGGTTTTTAGAACACCACTATGGGTTTCGAATACCCCATCAATTGAAAAACTCATACCCAAATAGAATAAGGGTTTCATTCCCTTATTCATTTTCAAGCACTACTATTAGTAACCATTCCCATTCCACCATACTACCAAACATGTTATTAGTTTGTATGCTACATTTCCCACATTCTCAATGACCTCATAGGGCCCATAGAACCTAGAACTGAGCTTGACATTGGTCATAACAGCCACAGAGACTTGTTTGTAGGGCTGTATTTTAAGGTAGACCCAATCCCCCACTTCAAAACTTCTCTCACTTCTATGCTTGTCAGTCTGTTGTTTCATTCTAGCTTGGGCCTTCTGGAGGTTTTCCTTGAGTACAGCCATCATTGTTGCCCTCTCTTTGAACCATTCACTACCCTCCCCTTCTGTGAGCACATTGAAAGTTAGTGAAGGGGGCGAGTATCCATATAGAGCCTGGAAAGGGGAACAATATAGAGAGGTATGAAAGTTGGTATTGTACCAATGTTCAGCCAGATGTAGCCACTTGACCCAAGTCTTAGGTTTAAGGAAAACCATGCACCTGAGGTAAGTTTCCACAAATCTATTCACCCTTTCTATTTGTCTATCAGTCTAAGGGTGGTAAGCAGAAGACATACTCAAACTCACCTGCAGTTGTTTAAACACAGATTTCCAGAATTTACTAACAAAAACTTTATCCCTATCACTTACA